ATATTTCTAACAAAATAAGAACTTCAGTGCAAACTTTACGGTCTGTAAATTTGAATTTCATTAAAATACTGTGATTATGCCAAGAATCTCAAAGTTACCAAATTTAGCTGTTACAAAGCTAAGTTAACAATAAAATGGTTATTTAAATTTAATTAATTAAGTTAAAAATTAATTTTGTTTGTTTACATCGTTGCGCATGTTGTCACTATGTTATTATTTAAGTAAAATTTGTTCAAACTTATTTTAATCTTACTTAGATGTAATCTTACTTAATGATTACTTAGATGTAATCTGAACCAAAACACACAATTTAGCAAAATAATTTAGGTTGTTAGTAATCAACTAATAATGTGTACCAAAATTATTATGTGAAAACGTGATTTTAAAAAATTAACTTAATTACTTACACATTTTGAGAGCGGCAAAGAAAACGATTTTATTTTTTTGCGGACAAACTAGTGGTCTTCGGAAAAAACAATAAGAGATAGAAAAGTTGGTAAATAACTTGTAGTAATTGACAAAAATGTGTCGAGAAAAGTTTAGGTGCACACTAAAAAGTTCTGAACAAAACAAAAGTAGGGGTTCCACATTTCTACCCTGTATAAAAGCAGATTGAGCCACGAAACACTACCGTAAAATGGCATTCAATTAGCTCATAATGTATACCAAAATTGAAGTTTCTATGTTTAACCGTTTTAAAGGCAAACAATAAAAACTAATATCTTCCGCCATTTTGGAAATCAAATATCTCAACAACGAAACCTCAAATTAAAAAAATACAAACACCCTGTATAACTAACTTTTATTTAATCTTGTGACTGAATTTATATCTAAAAATGGCAAGCTTGCTTAAATGTAGGTGCACATTCTGCTTACAACGTTTATTATTTTACATTTCAACTGTGATGGAATTTATGTCTTAGACTCTAAATTTGGTCATAGCTCATATGCAGGTGTACATTCTGCGTAGTTTGCTGATTATAGGCATATACATCTCGAGCTAAGTTTATTAATGAGAGAAATCCCGTTTTTAAGACCTATTACAGAACGTCAGAAAACTAAATACTTATGGACTAAAAATGCTGAATTAATATCGGATCCATATCTGAACGCTTATGGATTCTGGAGAACTGAACAGTAATTCTTATAATCGAAAAGTGATAAACACAATAATCAAGGCAACACGCTACTATACATATTTTGCTCCGCCGTTACGGCTTTATGAGATGATTCTAAAAACAACCTTTTAATCGGAAAACGGCTGCAGCTGGTTCGAAGTGCGCTCAACTGTTTCGGTTTTATGAGACGGTTCCAAAAACAACCGGTTAAATCTGCTAGCTGTAACTACGGTTTCAGGTTACACGTTTGTAACAATGTTATTTTAGCGGTTGTGTTAAATACCAACCATCCCTAA